TACATTCTTGTTATCTGCAAATAAATATAGCTTAATTTCATTTCTCATTTGGATCCATTTATTTGTTTATTGCTTATTGAATTAGTTAGAACCTTCAGTACAATGTTTAAAAGTAACAAAAGCAGACATCCTTGCCTCATTCTGGATATTAGGGTGAAAATATCCAGTCTTTCATTAAGTATGATATTAAGTCTGGGATTTTTGTAGATGCCCTTTATAAGATAGAGGAAATTCCTTTCTATTCCTTGTTTATTAAGAGTTTTTATCATGACTGGGTATTAGATTTTGCCAAATGCTTTTTCTCTGTCTACTAAGATGATCATATTGGTCTTTATTAATATAGTATATTGTTGTTGTTTAGTTGCTAAGTTGTGTCCAACTCTTTGCAACCCCATGGACTGTAGCCTGCCAGACTCCTTTGTCCACATCCATAGGATTTCCCAGGCAAGAATACTGGGATGGGTTGCCATTTTCTTCTCCAGGGGATCTTCCCCACCCAGGGATGGAACCCAGGTCTTCTGCACTGGCAGGTGGATTCTTTACCACTGAGCCAACAGGGAAGGCCTTATATTATATTACTTTATTGATTTTTAGATGTTAAACCAGCCTTGTGTTCCTACAATAAATTCTGTTACATTACGATGTATATGATCCTTTCTATATAGTTTGATTTGGTTTGCTAGCATTTTGTTAAAAGAGTTTTGCACCCACATTCATTAGAGATATTGGTCTGTAGTGTTCTTGTGAGAGGCTGGCTTTGGTATCAGAGTAATACTTGCCTTATTGAGTAATTTAAAAAGTGTTTCCTCCTCCTCTGCTTCTGAGTTTTTGAAGAATTGATGTTACTGCTTCTTTAAATATTTGATAGAAATCAGGGAAGCCACCTGGGCCTTTTTGCCTCAGGCCTTAGAGTCTAAAGAACTGAAGCCTGATGTGAGCTACAACATAAGCTCCACAATGGCTGAGATTTTTCTCTGTTTTTTTTCACTGAGATTCCCCAGTGCCTGGCAAATAGTTGATATTCAGTAAATATTAATATTAAATGAACATGAGCAGCATGCACAACTAGGGGGTATCCCAGGTGGTACAGTGGTAAAGAATCTGCCTGCCAATGTGGGAGCTGCAAGAGATATGGGTTTGATCCCTGGGTCAGGAAGATCCCCTGGAGGAGGAAATGGCAACTCGCTCCAGTATTCTTGCCGGGAAAATTCTATGGACAGAGGAGCCTGGTGGGCTACAGTCCATGGGGTCTCAAAGAGTCTAACATGACTGAGCATGTGCACACACACACACACCCCCGCACAACTAGAACATCTGAGGGGTATCACAGGCAACAAGCAAAAAAGGCAACTTTACTGCAGCATAAAAAGCATCTCAGCACAGGATATTTCTTAGAGAAATGAATTTTAAAAACATTAAATTTCTACAATAAACATTTAACCCCCTCTATGTAAATATAAAACCAAGTATGGTAAGTTTTATTAAAGTTTATGTTAATAGACTGTTCAATAACATAGTAAGATATGTTAAGAATAGCTTACGTACACTAAATTATGTTTAAAGTTTTCAATAACAATATTATTCTTAGGACATCAAAGGAAATTTATAACAATAGAGATCAAAACAAACAGATACAGCCTCAGAATTGCCTCTCTCAGCTGCTGGCATAGCTCTGTCTGATGGAACATTTTAGATTCTAACACTTCAGGGTCTAGACTATGATATTAGGAAAATGCAGAGATGCTAAGACCTTAACAACCTGGCCTTGTTTTTCTTTCCTCCATCTAGTTAGTACAGAAGAAACCCCAAGCTTCCCAGCCCAGCGAGAGCCTCATGCAGCTGATGGCCAAAGGGGAGAGCGAGGCCCTGTGTCAGATCTTTGCGGACTTGCATCAGCACAACCTGTTCAGGTACATGACTCAAATCCAGCCAGCTTGATGTCCCCAGGTGGTCTGTCCCAGAGACCCAGAAACCAAGTAATCTGATTAAGGCGCACAAGGAAGTACATGAAATACTGCCCTTCCATATCCAATCCAGTCTGTATTCTTGACTCAGGGAAACCTTTTCCTGGTCTCTTTGCCTGATTGTCCTTCTCCACAAACACTGTGGGCTTGACTTCAGAGGAGGATATCCATAAAAAATGAAAAGTAACTTCTTCAATATTAAGAATAAATTAGTAACACAGTGGAAAAGTAAAACCTAATTTCTAATCTAGTTCCTAGATTTCCTACTGAGAAATAATCAAGACATTGTTTAAAACATCCTCTATCACTGAGTTCCTTTACCTACATACTTGGCCTCTGCTTGGACTTTATGGAGCTTCTGTGGTCACTTTTTAAGTGTTTTCTGGAAAGCTCCCTCATGTAGGCCTGTCTTCTCCATGTCTGAGGAAATGTCACTGTTGGTACAGATGACTTAGGGTTGACTCTTAGGACTGGTTGGTATTAGACAAAAGTAGAGAGCACTTAGACCTCTGGGTACCATGGCCAGAGAGCGAAGATCAAGTGGGAACCAGGGTCCTAGTGAACTTGACATGTGGTGTCAAAGAAAAGGGAGAACAGAAATAAATTAGTAAATCTCACCAGAAGAGAAAAACACCAGAGAAGGAGATTTTGTCATAACAGGGACCAGCAACTCAGAGACAGAATTTAAAAAAAAAAAAAAGAGAGTTTTTTTGTGTGTATGAGTGCCAGTAATAAACTGAAAATCAGGAGAGTTCAAAGGAGGCAAAGTCTCATAGTGGGTAAGTACTCACATAGCTTTGGACCCAAATCACCGCTCTGACTATGACCCCTTGGGCACATTGCTTAACTCTTCTGGGCCTCAGTTTTCAGATCTGTAAAGTGGAAATTATGATAATGCCAACCTCATCCAGATAGTGTCAGTATAAAATGAACCATATGCATCAAGTGCTTGGCTGGTCCTCAGCAAATTTAGAGGCAGATAAATTAACTCTCAATAAATATTAACTTGTATTCTAACTTGGGCTGAAAGTAGAAAAGTGATAACACAGAAAAAGACTTATTAGTTGCCCACTGTTGAAGAATTTTTTATACTGGGGTTGTCACTTGGTATATCATACAGAGATCTATAATGAAGAGGTTCCAGGGTATAAGATATCACATTCTGAACAGGAGAGCTCTGGACTTAATACAGCATTTTATTTATTTATTTTTTTTTTGACCACACCACTCAGCTTTCGAGCTCTTAGCTCACTGACCAAGGGTGGAACTCCTGACTTCAGGCAGTGGAAGTACAGAGTTCTAACCATTGAACCATCAGGGAATTCCCAGAACAAGATATTGTGAAGCAATTTTTTGACTGTCTCAAAATGTTAACTCACAGATTTTATTACTCTTAGGACAGCCTCTGTTTATACCTCATTAGCCACACCTATATTTAGTCAAAGCTATGGTTTTTCCAGTAGTCATGTATGGATGTGAGAGTTAGACCAGAAAGAAAGCTAAGCACTAAAGAATTGATACTTTCAAATTGTGGTGCTGGAGAAGACTCTTGAGAGTCCTTTGGACTGCAAGATCAAACCAGTCAATTCTAAAGGAAATCAACCCTCAATATTCATTGGAAGAACTGTTGCTGAAGCTGAAGCTCCAATACTTGGTCACCTGATGCGCTGAGTCAACTCATTGGAAAAGACCCTGATGCTGGGAAAGATTGAAGGCAGGAGGAGAAGGGGTGGCAGAGGATGAGATGGTTAGATAGCATGATCGACTCAATGAACATGAATTTGAACAAAGTCCAGGAGATAGTGGAAAGCAGAGGAGCCTGGTGTGCTGCAGTCTACGGAGTTGCGAAGAGTGGGACATGACTTAGAAACTGAATAATGATAGCCACACTTGGTTGCAAAGGAGGCTGGGAAATGAAGCCTCCACTCGGCATAGCTATGGGCCCAACACAAAATTAGACGCTCTGCCTCAGCAGGAGAAGGGAAGAAGGGATGCTGGGGGCCTACTGGTAATCTCTGGCACAGAGAGATTTTAATAGCTCTGAAAGGTCAGAGAAGTTGAAGACCTGAAGGAAAAACTCACAGAAGTCAGATAAAGGATGGGGAAAGCTGTGCAGGCTAAGGGAACAAATGGGTATAAGACTGAAGCTTCGCCCTGAGTAAGAAGCTTACTGAGTCAGTGTAGAGAAAGGGACGGAATATCAGTGGGGAACTGGGGATGTTAGTAGGAGGACATATGTAGAAGCTGGCAGGGCCCAAGCCAGGCAGGGCCTGGGAAGCCATGCGAATGGATTTAAGCTTTAACTGTAATGGAAACCTTAGCAGCATTTTAAACAGGGAAGTGATGTGATCCCATTTACATTTTTAAAAGGTCAAGCTGGCTGCTGCTGTGACAGAGATTTGAAGAGAGGGAGGCTAGGTGTAGAGGGACCAGCCCGGGAGCCATGGCAACCGAGTCCAGGCTGTCATATGCAAGACGCATCAGAAGGATGCAAGAAACAGGGAACATTTAATTTTTGCTTCCCTATCTCAATTACTTTGTACAGACGTTTAGTTTCTTCTCTTTCATTTCCCAGCATGAAGCCCTGGAGTGATGATTTTTGTCCTCATGTAGGCAGGTTCTGGTCTGGCTGCAGTTTTAGCACATCAACAGCAATATGTAATTTACAGCAAATAAAATAAATGGCTGAGACACCAAACAGATGGAGTCATGCCCACTCCACCTCAGCAAAATCAGCATCAAGGGTTCTGCTCCTCAAACCCCTACCCCATCCTACCTCCCTCTTCTTTAGTTTTCCTTCTGGTGCTTTAATATGGGTCACATCCACCCAATATAGCCACAGCTGTCCTTTTTCATATTTATATCTGCCTCTAAAGCTTTCGTTGCATCAGGAAAAATATAACGAGAAACAAGATTTAAAACAAGAGTCTCATGCTCTATTCTTTTCCTTCTGACCTTCATTTCCTTGATCCTGAAATGACTGGAGTTCCAGGAGCAGCAAAAAGACAGAGAACAAAAAGGACAGCTCAGGTAAGGGAGGGCACAGGGTACCTGCATCTTGGAGAATTTTTCTGCTCTGAAGACATAGGAATAAAATTCCCTCCAGTCCCCCACCCCAACTTCCCTGAGCTGTCAGGATCACCATTATCCTCCTGTACCTTGGTTCTAGTTCTTCTGGCATCTGTGGTCACCATAGTCTATTTGGCACCACATCACCCCAGTTTCTTTCTTTGAAATATTCTTTACATTCTTGAGTTCATTTCCAAGCCCACAGAACCTACTCCAGTCCACTTTATCATCTCTTGCCTGGGCCACTGCAGCAGTCTCCTGTTAGTTCATTCATTCATTCAAAAGCACATATTGAGCACTTGGTAAGTGTCAAACACTGTTGAAGGCTTTGGAGTCACAGTGAAGAAAAACACAGTACCCCATTCAGGCGTTTATAGTTTTTGGAGTCAAATGGGTAAATTCCCAAATCACATAACCCCCCCTTCCAGGCAACATTCAAAGCTCAAGACTGGGGTGCTCCTGTCTTGAGGGCACAAAGGCAGAGCTCCCTCACTCCTTCCGGGAAGCTGTCCCGGAAGACCTGGGGTCTGTGCTGAGTCACAGAGGATGAGTACAAGTGGGCTGGCTGAGGCAGATGAGGCAGGGATCCTAGAGACACAGAGTCTGTGTGAGACAGCATGACACATTCTGGAAACAGCAGCCAGTTCCCTATGTATTCTCAGGTTCTAGTTTACCTCAAATCCACTCATTTTGGCATGGCTGATCCTGCATGAACTTTCCATCTTACCCATCTCACCTGATTACTCTCTCCTCCTTAATAGGGAGCTCTTTGCCTCCTTTTCTCCAGCTCAAATCTTCTGCTCTGGTCAAACCTCAGCTATCCTTCCCCATGACTTAGTCATCCTCCTCTGCTCCCTTCTTCCTGACGCCACTAAATCCTGCCTAATCGTTCAGATACACTCCCAACTGGGGCTTCCCCGGTGGCTCAGCGTTAAGAATCTGCAATGCAGGAGACACGGGTTCAATCCCCGGGTCAGGAAGGTCCCCTAGAGAAAGAAATGGCAACCCACTCCAGTGTTCTTGCCTGGAGAATTCCATGGACAGAGGAGCCTGGAGGGCTACAGTCCATGGGGTCGCAAAGAGTCAGACACGACTTAGACACTAAATGACGACACTCATGACACCTTCCTGTCCAGGCACATCTTGCCTTGCTCATAACCTCTCTTTCATAATATAAGTTCCCTAATTGTTTCATAGATTGAAGTCTCATTTCTTCAACCAATACTAAACTTTTTTTGTGTGCTTCTGAATTCCTACAGTGGGAAGCACAGGTCTGAGAATGCAATAGGAGCTCAATAAATATTCATGTACCACCTCCCTAAGAAATCATTCCTCCAAATCAGCTCATAAAGGCAGCCAGAATATCATGTTATATTTAGAAATTTGGAGGAGTATGTAGATCCTAGAGGAGCTGTGCCAACTTTTATCCAAACCAGGGACTCAAACTCAAACATCTGCAGGTGTTATAAAGGAGTAAAGAGTCTATGTGTCATATACATAAGAAATGGCTAATTTTTCTCCCATCCCTATTATTCATAAAACAAGAGCTGGGCTGACACAGTTCAGCACTGAAGAGACAGTAGGGAGTGATGGGGACTGTGGCAATGAAAAAGTGAATGTTTCAAAGTTTCATTAATGGTTGCCATGCTGCAACACAGGCCTGGCATTGCCAGATAATCTGATTTTTCAAGAAAAAACAAAAATCTGAATTTTTATATCACATACACCCCCATCCCCCACTTCATAAAGATCTAAAGTGTGAAAGTGATAGTTGTTCAGTCGTGTCTGATTCTTTGTGAACCCATGGACTGTAGTCCCCCAGGCTCCTCGGTTCTTGGAATTCTCCAGGCAAGACTACTGCAGTGGGTTCCTACCATTCCCTTTTCCAGGGGATCTTCCCAACCCAGAGACTGAACCCGAGTCTCCCGCATCACAGGCCAATCCTTTACCAACTGAGCCACCAGGGAAGCCCAACAAAGCACAGTATAGGCCAAAACTTAGTGGGCAAACAAAAGGCACTTGCGGAAAAGAGAGCCTGGAGGCCGCCAGTTCTCAGCCCCTGTTCTCTGTGGTAAGCAGAGGTGACTGCTGGCCCACATTTTCTGCAAGTCTAGGATTGCTTTCTCATATTATGTGACTGCTAGTTAACAGTGGTGAGTCATTAATGTTTTTACACATACATTCAAACACACACACATGTACATACACTCAAAATATATCCCATGAGATCAGTGTTGAAGAAGACAGAGCTAGAGAATATTTCAAACTTATTTTAGGACTTGAGAGAACAGCTAGAATTTCAGAGTCACAGGACATCTGTGTCATGGGAACTGTTGCTCTCGAGATGTCCCTAGGCTGATTGCAATTAATGATCCTGGGATGTCCTTAGGACCCTGTTCTTTCCTTGGACCTGAAGGAACCCCTCTTTTCTCTTTGGGCCAAGTAGCATACACTTTCAGTTTGGAAGGATGCTCACACCCCAGACTCTTAAAACTTTTGGATGATGAGAGGGAGAGAGAGAGGGAGCTACATTTGGAAAAGCCAGCATCCCCAAGTCTACCTGTGTTGTTGAACATGTCACTTCCCCATTTGTGGGTGATGTGATCTATATGGTCCTTCCCAAACTTTAATGTGCAAATGCCCCCCTAGGGATCTTGTTAACATGCAGATTCTGATTCAGAGCATCTGGGCAGATCTGAGACTGCATTTCTCACATGCTCTGGGTGATGCCAAAGCTGCTGGGCTGTGAGCCACTCTTAAGTAGCTCAAGCCAAGTGGACCAAGAACAGGCTCTGGCTTCAGGCCATCTGGGTTCAAGGGCATTGCCTGTTCAGCTAGCTGAATCTCCTGGGGAAATTCACTCGGTTAACCTCTCCAAGCCATGTTGGTTGCCTCGTTTTATGGGTACTGCCTGTTGACATGATGTAGTGGTAAAAACACAGGCTTTGTTGCCTGGCTATCTGGCCTGGGATTCTGGCCTTGCCTCCTCACAATGTGACCACGGTAAGTGACTTCACTTTGCTGGGCCCCAAATCCTCACACATCAAATGGGGACTATGGCAGCACTGACCTCTCGGAGGTTGTTGTGAGGGTTAAAAGAGCATTAATGCATGTAATTGTTTGGAACGGTGCCTGGCACATAATAAGCACCTCACAAATGTTGGCTGGAACCTGTGAGTGTGGTCTGTGAATTAAAGTACAAACAACCGCATTCCTTTTTGACCTAGGGAAAAAAACTTCTCCGAATGAAGACTCCATCCCTTGCACCCGTGACCTCAGTTGGAGGGATTCGTTCACCTATGGAGAGTGGGAAAGAGAGAACCCCTCTGGGCCGCAGTCCCTCTCACTCCTCAGCACTCTGGCAGCCTCCACTGGGCCCCAGCTGGCCCCACTCATAGGTATGGTGACAGCATTCACCCATTGCCTTCCTGGCACAGGCCTGGGTTCAGGTTCTAGGGTCTTGGGAATTGTTCCAGGAGGCTGTGGTTTGGGAGTTGGGAACTAGCCACAGCTACCTCAACCCTCTTTGTTCTTGCCCTGTTCTTCTCTACCTCCAACTGGGCTGAGTGAAACCCTAAGAGTGGCACCTCCAGAGCTACCAGAGGCCCCTGGGCATTCCTGCAAGTGGCTCAAAAGAGACAGATACTGGCAGGACACGGCTGTCACTAGAACTGCCTTCTTCGTGCTGTGCGGGAAGCACGACGGGCTGCCTCTGCAGAGGGAGGAGCTCCTTTTCCTTCTCTGGCCTCCACGGGAGTCCCAACCTTCTGCTGTGTAGAGCAGGAAGGAGGAAGTCCATGAGGAGTCAAAGTGAAAGTCGTTCTGTCGCCTCTGACTCTACGACGCCATGGACTGTAGCCCACTGGGCTCCTCTGTCCATGGGATTCTCCAGGCAAGAATACTGGAGTGGGTAGCTGATCCCTTCTCCAGGGGATCTTCCTGAGCCAGGGATCAAACCCGAGTCTCCTGCATGGCAGGCAGGTTCTTTACTATCTGAGGCACCAGGGAAGCCCAGGAGGGATGAGGTGTGGGGATCAAATTTCTCTGAGGCCCAGCCCTTATCTTTCCACGCACCAAAGCTCATCCGTCCATCCATGTATTCATTTAACATTCATTAAGTATTTCCTGTGTGCCTCTGTCTAACCAGAGAGAGATCCTTAAAGAAGGTACAGTGGTTTATGTTTTCTAGAGTAAAATATAATCAATAAGCCACTAACTCTTATAAGTTACCTGTTATCAATAGTTGACAATTTAAAAAACTAACAGAAGTATCTAGGTGCCATAGAAGAGCTCATGAGGCAAGCTATATCTTATTGAAAGTTTTCTCTCCTATACTCACAGGAAATTCTATTTGAGCCACCCTTTCACAGAAGAGAGAATCGTACGACCCTTGCTAACACTACTCTGCAGCATTCAGCTTTCTGTGGGATACTGTCCTTATGGAGGGAAGGAGAAAAGCTGCAGCTAAGGAAAAACTAGAATCATCTCATGCTGACAGCATAGCCTTTCCCTGGAAAATCGCTTGGGAGCATGGCTCCCAGACAAGAAGCATTATTTCAGCATTATTCTGGTCCGTAACTTTGCATCCTCACCACCACACATCACCACACCTCACCTCCCTTCCAGCACAAGAACATATGCTCGCAGAAGGACCAGGATCGAGAGAGAGAGAAGGAAGGAAAGAGAACCAGAACCAGAAAAGAAGTGGAAGAGAACAAAATGGGGCTGAAGAGGAAGGTGGAGGGCGGAAATCAGGGAAGAGGGGAGATGCAGAAAAGTGGTAACAGAAGGAAACAGAAAAGAGGACACGAGAAGCACACTGAGAGATGCCTCGCCAAGCTTCTATTTATCTAATTTAAAACGTCAAAGTAAGGCCATATACCAAAAGAGACATGTGTTTTCCTCTCTGCTCAGACTCCTCTGGACAAGGATACGGGGACAGAAATGAATTCTAGCCAAAGGCCTCTCCTTAAATGTTCCTTTTTGCCAATTTTTCTCCTTAGTCCCTCTGTTTTGATTCAAGCCTTAGACCTTCTTCCTTAGTGCATTTCCTGACTTGGACCTGCTAGCCTGGCCCTGATGTTCCAAATGGTGGGTTTGGGTCCGAGGCTACACAAGTTTCCTGCGGGAGGTTGTAAGACAAGGTGCGTGTGGTAGGGGGAGTTTCTCTTTCTGAGTTTCAGAAATAAGGCTTTCTATTGTCTCAGCCCTACAAACACTGGCTCAATTTCTTTTGCATACCATACCCCCTTGAAATAGAGTATCTTGTTAGTACTTACTAGATATTCCAAAGAGAGGAGACACAGGCTCAAGCTACAGGTAAATCAGAGGTTCCAGGCTCAAAGTATAGGTAAAATCAAGGGTTCACAAATTATAGATGAAGACAGTCACTAAGGTGGGTCTGCTAGAGAGACCATGGACTGGTCTCTATTTAAAATGCACAATATTGCACATTCAATAAAAGCCAGACTATGAGTATTTCAGAAAAGGTACCCAACCTTCCAGTTGGAAAGCGTTTCTGGACATCTTGCTTTGATTTAGGCTATCCTAGGGGAGGGTATTTTTCTTCACTGAAGTGGTTTTCAGACTGAAATGGTTGGAGGGCTAAAAAGTAAGTTCCTCAATCATCATTGCTCTTGCCAAGGATGAGTTATGTCCTAATTCTTAGTGATTTCAGTATCCACATAGATAATCCTTCCCATACCCTAGTCACTCTCCTTGTCCTTCACCCTCCTCAGCCACTGACCCCCTCCCCAATTTACCCTAGAGTTTGACATTAATAACTGTACCCCACCCCATCATTTCTATTCTCCAACTATATACCATCTCCTATCTTTCCCTGAGTCCGATAATCCTTCGACCCCACCAATCCTGCAATTTCTTGCTCCTTCTGGGTTTTCATTATCCCTTCCTGTCCTCACATCTTCATTCCTTCCCCCTCCAGCCTAGATTCCATGATCCATCCTGAATATCATCACTCTCTTGCAAGTACCCTCAGCACCTTTGTACCTCTTCCACTTTATTAACTGACCAGGTCAAACTCTCCACCAACTGCACCATGACACTAAACTTTTTTTTGGTTGCACTAGGTCTTGGTTGCGGTAGCTGGGATCTTCGATCTTAGTTGAGGCATGCAGGATCTTTAGTTTTCAGCATTCAGACTCTTAGTTGCAGGATCTAGTTCCCTAACAAGGGTCGAACCCAGGGCCCCTGCATTAGGATCACAGAGTCTTAGCCATTGGACCACTAGGGAGGTCCCCACGCCACTAAATTTGCCTGGAGAAAAACCACATGACACACTATCCAGTTTCACCTCAACATTACCTCAGTTCTCAAGAGGGTTCTTAATATTGCCTGGAGCTCATACTATGTTCCCCTCATCTGCTCTCTGCTGAATGGCTATTCCACATCTTCTCCTCCTTTGGGTGGGAGGCTCCCCCAGTGCCTCCTGATGACCCAGCTTCCTATTTCACTGGGAACACAGTAGCAACTGAAAGAGAACTCCAAGTTCTCATGACCACCCCTACCACTCACCTAGAACCAGACCAATAGATCTAGATTCTCTCCTTGTTAATATAAAAGAACTACCTAGCTCTAAGGAAAGTCCAAATCTTCCCATTTTGTACTGGGTCCCCTCCCACCTCACCTACTCAAGGACATTGCTCCAGCAACTCTCCCTTCTCCCTTCATCATCAATTTGATTCTCTCTCTTAGAGGCTTCCCATCAGTAATAAACACGCTGGTATTTTTCCTTAATATAACTGCTATTTCTTCCATTTAAAAATATGAAAAAATAAAACAAAACAAAACCTCTCTTGGGCTCTCTGCCCACTCTGTTCCCCTTTAGTAAACTCCCTAAAGGGTTTCCAATGTCTTGCTTCCCATTTTCTCTTGAACCCTTCCACTAAACACCAAACCTGATCTTCACATTGCTAATGCCAATGGTCAAAGAGTCCTCACCCCTCTGTTAACATGTAATATATGTGATTTCTCCTGGAAACACTTCCTTCACTTAGCTTCTAGAACATTATTCTCTCCTCTTTCACTGGCTTTTCTTCTGAGTTTCCTTTGCTAATTCATTCTCATCAACACCCCTCCACCGCCACCATCACCACCATCTCCAAACACTAGAAATTTCCAGGACTGAGTCTTGGGTCTCTTCTAATCAAACCTCATAGTTCATACCACACATAAACCAGTTACTCCTAAATGTATCTCTCTAGTCCAGAACACTGTGATCACCAACTGCCTACTTGACAACTCCATTCGAATTTCTAATAGGCATCTCAACATGTCCAAAAAAAAAAAAATCTCTCAATACTGACTTGCTCCCCACAAGGTCTTTTCTATCGCTGACTTCTATCCAAGACTTGCTCCCCACAAGGTCTTTTCTATCCTTGTAAACGGCAGCTCCATATTTCTACTTCCTCAAACCTTGGAGTCATCCTTGACTCCTCTTTCTCTCCACCTCATTTCCAATCCATCAGGAAACACCTTTAAACTGCTTTCAAAATATACACACAATCCGACACTTCTCAGAATTTCTACTGTTATCACGCTGGACCAAGCCATCATCGTCTGTACTGTTGTAAAAGTCACCTAAATGAGTGGCTTGTTTCTAATCTTACCCACTTGAATTTCATGTGACCCCCTTTTCTTAAAGGTTGGCTTGATTTTTTTTTCTTCTATTGATGGTAACCTCCTTTTCCATGACTCAGATGGTAAAGAATCCGCCTGAAATACAAGAGACCCTGGTTCGATCCCTGGATCAGGAAGATCCCCTGGAGAAGGGAATGGCTAACCATTCCACTAGTCTTGCCTGGAGAACCCCATGGACAGAGAAGCCTGGCAGGCTACAGTCCATGGGATCACAAAGATTTGAACACGACTGGGTGACTAATACTACTATTTCTACAGAACATTATTTTATTTTTTAAAAACGTACTTATTTGGCTGAACCAGGTCTTTGCTGCATCACACAGGATCTTTAATCTTTAGTTGCAGCATGTGGGATCTAGTTCCCTGCCCAGGGATGGAACCTGGGCCCCCTGCATTGGGAACATGGAGTCTGAGCCACTGGGCCACCACAGAAGTCCCTAATGTGACCCTTTTAAGATCTTAGGCATGTCACTTTTCTGCTTAAAACCTTCAGATGGCTTCCCATCTGCATTAAGGTAATGCTACTTCTGTAAGAAATAAGCCCCAATATATCAATGGCATAAAATAATCAACAGAACTTCATTTCTCACACACAGAAGAAGTTCAAGAAGGGTGTCCTGTTCAGGGAGTAGCTCTTTAACAGGACCCTGGGCTCCTTCCCTCTTGTGACTTACCATCTGTGCTGCACGGCTCCCAGGGCTGCCATAGAAAGGGCAGGAGCTTGGAGAATGGCCTGTGGCAGGTTTGCATGGCCAGTCCTGGAAGTAGTGGACATCATCTGGCCCGAGCTCTGTCACACTGCCACATCCCGGGAGGGGGATGCTGGGAAATGTAGTACAGCTGTGTCACAGGATGAAGAGGAAACAGTTCGGTAAACAGCCAGTCCTTTCCACACTACTTCAATCATAGGAGCAGCTACAGACTTTAAAATGGCCTGAAGCCCTCCATGGTGTCCCTCTCATCTTCACCCCCATCCTGGCTATTACCTCCCTGACCTCACATCCTCTACTCTGCTAAATTACTTTACCCAGCCACACTGACTTCCTGCTGTTGCTGAAACACTCCAAGCAGGCTTCAGCAGCTCAGGACCTTTGCTCTCACTGCTGCCTTTTCCTGGGATGTTCTTCACCAAATTCAGATGTTCACTCATACTCATGTGCCATCCTCTTCACGAGCCTTCTCTGGCTACCCTCTTGAAGACTGCAAACCACTCCTGGTGGTCCTAACGTTTCCTTTTTCCTTTCCTGCCTTATTTTTTGAAAAGTAATTTATTTGGCTGCATTGGGTCTTAGTTGCACAATGAGGGAGCTTCCATTGTGGCCCACAGACTCTCGAGTTGTGGTGTGCAGGCTCTGGAGCAACTGAGGCTCAGTAGTTTCAGCGTCGGGCTTTAGTTACTCCTCAGCATGTAGGATCTTAGCTCCCTGACCAGGGATCAAACCCGCATCCCTGTATTGCAAGATGGATTCTTAACCACTGAGCCACTGGGGAAGTCTCCTTTCCAGCCTTATTTTATTCTAAGGCATCTATCACCACCTCTCATTCTATATATTTTGCTTTTTTATATGGTTTATAGGCCACATTCCAGAATATAGACACCATGAGAGAGTTTGGGGCTCCCCTGCTGACTTAGATGGTAAAGAATCTGCCTGCAATGCAGGAGACCTGGGTTTGATCCCTGGGTCAGGGAAGATCCCCTGGAGAAGGGAATGGCTACCCACTCCAGTATTCTTGCCTGGAGAACTCCACAGAGAGAGTTTTGTCCATTCACTGCTGTACCTCCAGTGCCTAGAACAGTGTCTTGCACACAGGAAATAATACATTTGCAGAGTGAATGTTCAGTAGCACTGTATGAGAACCGCTAGGATGTTTGAATAACATTATCAGCCTTCTGAGGTTGACATTATTCTATTTGCCATAAACAGTCCTTCGGTGCTTCCCCCCCAGTTAGATGGACCTTGGGTATGGCTATGGTGATATTTCTTAACGTGTGTCAGCCCTCATGTCCATTTCCTCCTCTACCTGCTTTCTAACTCGAGGGCTCCCAGGAGGCTTAATCTGCTTTTCTCTCCTCAGAAACCTCATGTGTTCTCATGGCTCCACCAGCTGCTGCCTGGCCAATGACCTTAAGCATCTCCTCCAGCCTACTGGTTCATTCTTTTTAGCTGCTCTCCTATTACCTTAGATTCATCGTGTCTTTATTTCAACTCCATTCCCCTATCATCCATGTACCTAGCTCAATCTCCCAGTTTCCTACAATTAAAACTTTAAATTTTCAAGTGCTCCTTTTTCATTTCTTTCTTCCAAGCAGTCACTAAGTCCAGGAAATTCTTATTCCCACTTTTTAAAATTCTTTTGTATACAAGTGTTCATTTGCATTTCTCTTGCTCTGCCTAGGCCAAACCCTCATTCACAGGGAACCTCAGGGTTAAAGGGTGCCCCGTCTCTGGCAGAGTCCCACCACCTTAACCAGCCTCTTCTAGGACACTTCCAAGATGGTGGCATTTCCACTAGGCAGCTGTTCCTTGAGGGCAGGGGCCATGTCCTATTCTTTGTGGGTTTACCAGCACCTAGTACAGTGCCTGACTTCAAGGAGGCATTTTCAAAATAATTTTTAAAGTGGCTCCTGAGGCAGCCTATTCCATAGTTAACCTGTATGGAGATGCATCTCCCTGAGAGAACACTTTCAACCTCATTCCACTTGCCACAAAGGCACAAGCTTGGAAACCTTCAGAGGAAGACCCACAATTCCCACTGCCTTCAGCTCAGGCTCCTCAGAACTCAGGCTCTCCCCTCCCCATCCCCTCTTTTAATCTCCCTCATCCCCAACCTGACCCAAGAATTTACCTCCTACTCTGTCCCCCACATGCCCTTTTCCGGTTATTCCTTTTGCTAAATAGTGCCCAGGAATTTTTTAGTCCAGCCTGAGTCACACCTTCTTCAGAAGCCCTTTCTGGCTGTTACCACGGGTTATGGCCACGCCTTCCCAAAGCATTGGTCAACCTCTCACCTTGATGTTTAAAGTAAACTAAGTTGCTTTGTATTTAACTTTCTCATGAGCACACTACTTGTCTCAACTGGATTTTGAACTATAGAGGCTATATGTGCTAGAACACAGTAGGTTTTTGTCCATTGACATTGCCCTTAGAGAAGCAAGTGAAAGTCGCTCAGTCGTGTCTGACTCTTTGAGAGACCCATGGACTGTACAGTCCATGGAATTCTCTAGGCCAGAATACTGGAGTGGGTAGCCTATCACTTCTCCAAGGGAACTTCCCAACCCAGGGATCGAACCCAGGTTTCCCGCATTACAGGCAGATTCTTTACCAGCTGAACCACAAGGGAAGCCCAAGAATACTGGAGTGCATAGGCTATCACTTCTCCAGGGGATCTTCCCAACCCAGGAATCGAACTTGGCTCTCCAGCATTGCACGTGGATTCTCTACCAACTGAGCTATTCTTATTTAATTCTAATTTCATGACTTGAAAATGAATAAGTTCATGATTTCCTGTGTTCCTCTTCAATTGGGGACATCATATGGGTTCCACCCATTCAGTTCACTTAACATTATTAAGCATTTACTTTGATCTGGGCAGTAAGCTGAAAGCTTCAGGTACAAAGATGAATAAAGGCAGATCTCTCTGATGGAGCTTAGTCTGGAGGACAAATGGATAAACAGCGTTTTACAGCAAAATTTGTTCTTCCCCGGTGGCTCTAGTGGTAAAGAACCCACCTGCCAATGCAGGAGGTGCAAGAGAGGAGGGTTTCATCTCTGGGTCAGGAAGATACCCTGGAGGAGGAAATGGCAGCCCACTCCAGTATTATTGCCTGGGAAATCCCATGGATAGAGGAGCTTGGCAGGCTATAGTCCATGTGGTTGCAAAGAGTCCAACATGACTGAGCATGCATGAACATACATACCAAAGATACAAAGTGTTTTAAGGTAAATAAAGGAGGAATTGCTATGCCTAGCAAGGTCAGGAAAGGCTTCTAGAGCTAAGATTAAACTGGGATTTCTGTGAACTGGGACTTGTATTGTCATTCACAAGGCAGAGGATTTGGAAAACGAGCTCACTGTCGGTTAATAATGAAAGACTGGAGAGATGTGAAGGGCTTCCCTGGTGGTGCAAACAGCAAAGGATCTGCCTACAATGCCCTGGGCTCGATCCCAGGGTTGGGAAGATTCCCTGGAGGAGGGCATGGCAACCCAGTCCAGTATCTTGCTTGGAGAATCCCCATGGACAGAGGAGCCTGACAGGCTACAGTCCATGGGGTCGCAAACAGTCGGATAGGACTGAGCGACTAAGCACAGCACAGAGAGATATGAAAGGGCGGGCAGTTGGAAACATCTAGATGATGGTAGTCACAGCCCAGGGTACGTACCCATCTAGGCGGCAGAGCTGAAGGGAAAGAAGTGGGCCTACCCACTTGGCGACTGATTCAATTAATTCGGCCCTGGTTTCTTGTGGGTGGGCATGAAGATAACTAGGATAATTTAAGAAGCCCTGCGGAGGCCGAGTCACGCTCTGCCAACCGGTACATAGCGGCCAGAGAGCCGCGCCCACACGCCAACCTGAGCAAGAGGTTACAACCCGCCAACTGCACCCGGCCCAAGACAGGAGTTGGGCGGGAATCCTGTCCACGCAACCCGGCGCGCTCGCGGAGACGTGGCGCTTTCCAGCCAATCCCTACTACGCAAGCGTGGGGCCAATGGCTGCCTGGGGAAGCTGCGCGTAGGCGGCGGGCTGGCTGATGATTGGTCTAGAGGCTGCCGTCGTGGAGGACGGCGGCGGGGCGCGGAGCCGCTTCCGCTTGGGCGGGGCTTGCGCGCCAGAGCTAAGCCGGTGGCAGAGCAGCGGCAGCGGCAGCCTGGGCTGTGGGTGCGACGGAGGGAGGTAGGTACCACGGTGCACAGTCTCTCCGCCGCCGCCGCCTCCCTTTTCACTTTCTTTCTGTCTTCTGGGCCTCGCTCCCGGCGCGGCAGGGCTTCTTTGGCGCAGGGTCCCGGTTTCTGCCCTCTCGGGGTTCTGAGGCCTGAGACTGCTCGTGACTGCCCGGCCTTCGGCGTGCAGCCTGGGTTGGAGGCCGCCGCTGGCCTTCCCGCGCGCTCTGGGAAGGGGCCTGGGGCCCCGAGAGTTCCAGCTTCCCTCGCTGCGTCCTGTGGGGGTAGTGTTTTGTTCCTGGCTTGCCACGTCCTCTGGCCCTGAGCCCCGCCAGTCACCAGGTCCCTCATCCTAAAGGGTCACGCTTGTTTGTCTTTTGAAGGTCGGAGGGCAGTCACATAGCGTTATTGTTACAGCTCCCTGCCACTTCCCACGCTTGGGCCTGCTTGTGTCCGCCAGCTCCGCCCCAAGGCCACATCCCGAGAGGACATCTGCATCTGCCAAGAAAGTCGTGTTCGCTGACTTGGAGGGTGTAGAAACGAGGGGGGAAGAAAGCATGCAGACCCTATGTGATTTTTCTAAAAAGTTGTGTATAATTTTAAAGAAAAGACGGATATCTCTAGCATGTTTGGCTTCATGCCTCGGTCAGCGACGGAAAATAGTTTTAAAAACTCCAATAAGGAACTGTATTTTTACATGGTTACGTTGCTTCTAGCCCCAGATCCTAGTTCTGATTTTTAGCATGCTGAGTTCATAAGTCAACTTAATTCCCTACAGCTGCCCTGATCGAGTCGAGTGATTTTCAGTTCCGAAAGCTGCTTTTGCTTCAAGACAAAAAGCTCCTTGGATCCCCTGCTAAAACTTTAGTAGGAGTTTTGATCTGAAGTCCTAAGTGTATAAAGTCCCAGAATAATGTCCTTGAGAATTGAGTTGCAGTCACTTCCTGGCATGAACCATAAAATAAGCATGAGTTGGAAATAAGGTTTCTTATGATTTGTTTTTGTAGCTTAGAGGTAGAGAACCATAGGATGTCTGATAACTTATTTTTTTGCTATAGAATGGTACTTGAGACAAGGCAAATGCACTTTTGACCTCATTTGGTAGATTTAGTTAACCAAGGACGAAACGATGGTCATCGTTGAAGAATTTTTGTATATCTAGTAATATTGTGGCTCCACAGATAACCTGTAAATTGTATTTGTGTGGAGAGAAGATGAGCTTGTTTTTCTTGGCCTAAATCTGAGATTTACAGGGATTCAGGGGTATCCAACAGGACTGTTTTGAGAATCACTAGGAGAAATACGAGCTAACAAAGATGAATTGAGTATGCCTGAATGGCTAGTAAACTTGTAATCAACACTGTTAATGTATTCACTTGCCTCCATTTATCCAGTGATGTGTCAAAAGATACTCAGAGTATTTTCTGTACATTGCATCGGTACAAGAGATCAGTACATTGATTTTAACATACGTTTTCCTCTGTGTGTGGCACATGCATGGTTGTGCCAGGGGTTTTGGAAGCACAGGGGTGTAGCCAGGAATAACCATTGAAGATGCTTGCTAGGCCATAAGGTCCTAGTTCCAGTCTTTCTATGAACTCTTAAATATGTAATTTATGTATTAGAGTTAAGACAGCTGAAATAGCACCTTTTCTGTTGCTGACTGATGACCAGATCCAGTAAGGGGAATTGGAGAATGGGGAGCACTGGTGGCAGGCAGGAGCTATACTGCTGCCAAGTGCAGTCCAACTAATGCAGCAAAATGTGTTAGTATACAGAAAGCACAAGACACAGTGTTAGAGATTACAATGATGGATGTCTGACTCTTCAGCTCTATGGGCTGTATCCCACCAGGCTTCTCTGTCCTTGGAATTTTCCAGGGAAGAATTCCAGAGTGGGTTGCCATTTCCTTCTGCAGGAGATCTTCCCAACCCAGGGATCAAACCAGCAACTCCTGCGTCAGCAGGCAGGTTCTTCACTACTGAGCCACAGGGAAGTCCATTAAGGATTATAGAAGAGTATTAATTTATATTTAGCTGAGGTCCCTGCCTTCCTAAAGTACATCCATAGAGGAGCTAAGGAGACAGCTTAAGATAACCTATGATCATTATTGTGGAGTGGTACAAAGAAGTTCTATAAAGTTCTTTAGAGGACTATATACAGACCACTTGCAGCTGGAGTGATCATAGTAGATAGGTCTTTTCATCTAGGATTTTAAATTGTTTATTTACATCTGGCACTAAAGGAAGATTGAGCTAAAATAACTACCAAATTCCCAAGAATTTTGTGTGTGTTACATATGCACAGCAAAATTACAAGCAGGAACCAAAACTCTTGCCCCTACATTTTACATAGCTTTCCTTTGGCAGTTAACAATTTATTGAAGTTTCATCAGCCAAAAGGAAACCTTCATTCTCCCAGGGTTTCTCGAATTTATTTCTTAAGGACATTTTTGTTACCCTATAGCAAGAAAAATTTTAAGTTTGCACTGGGTTGCTTTGGTTACAGAATTAATGAAACCTAAGTAATAGCCATTTCAAAGCTTTTCTCCTACAGCCAAATTTTGCACTTTTATATGCTTGGCTAGCTTATAAATAAATGTATACCCTCAGTCACACAAATGATTTAATTAGAATGTATTAATAAACAGTTCCATTGATTGCTATAGAAATGCTGAATAAATGGTTTGTCATTATTATAACTCTCATCAAATCATGAAAGGTGCTGTTATTAACTTAGTATGATCCATTGGTGGTACTAAAGTCTGGAAGGGAAGAATGTCAGGTAGATCCCCAGGTGGCTTTAATTCCTAGACCTTATAACAAGAACTTTAGTATAGTTAAATTGCTATCAGACTCTTGCCCTCAATTCCCAATTGAAGTAGACTTTAGTATAGTTAAATTGCTATCAGACTCTTGCCCTCAATTCCCAATTGAAGTAGACACTTAAGCATTGAGATTCCGCTTTTGCTGCACTATAGAGGAATGCTTCCCCCCACCCCCCCAATATCCAACTCACAGAAATGGAATTTTACCACCACGCCCATTTCTCTTACTGTTAACACTGAGCAATGGGTCTTTGGTCAACTGGAATAACTGTGGGGTCACTCATTGTTAATGTTCTTGAGAAGCTGAATTTAATCCAGACCTCTAAATTTCCCTGAAACAACTTTTAACTGTTCTGTGACCAGTGCATTTTTATTAAAAATGATTGGGAGGAAAGGGAGAAATGGCAAGAATTTAAAGCTCTCAAGAAAATTTTTGAATGGGTAAAACTGATTCTTAAGGCTTATCATTGTTACTGAAAGAAATTCAAGTTTATGCTATTACCTTTCCCTCCTTATAAATTTACTGGAACAATTCATGAAAACAACTTTGTAGGAGACCATTATGGCTGACATAGTGCAAAAGTATGGTAATAACTTGGTACCTTTTCTGTTCTAGCTGTTTATTTATGTCTCTAACATGGCACAATGAAATAGATATATAATACAAGCCACATATGTGGCTTAAATTTACAGGTGAGGGACTTCCCTGGTGGTCCAGTGATTAAGATTCTGCACTTCCACTGCCAGGGGGCCTGAGTTCAATCCCCGGTCAGATTCCTGAGTATTTAAAACAAGGGCCTTCCCAGGTGTCACAGCAGTAAAGAATCTGCCTGCCAATCCGAGAGACGTGGGTTCCATCCCTGAGTCGGAAAGAGTCCTCTGGACGAGGAAATGGTAACCCACACCAGTATTGCTGCCTGGAAAATCCTGTGGACAGAGGAGCCTGGTGGGCTACAGTCCATGGGGTCACAAAGAGCCAGGCATGACTCAGCGACTCAACAACAACAGTTATTAATAAAGCATGTGAAATTAATTTTAATAATTTATTTAATCCACTGCATACAAAAGTACCATTCTTTTATCATAAAGTGTAACACACCACATCCTTAATTCACACTAGCCACATTTTTTAAGTGTTTGGTAGCCACATGTAGCTCTCGTCCTGGACAGTGCAGGTCTAGTTTTCTGGTTTTGTTTTTCTTTTAAGAAAAAATATTAAATGTAGTCAGACATGACTTAGCAACTGAACAGTATCAACAATTAAATGTTACCCTTGGTGAGGGAGGGGCAGAATTTGAGTGAGAGAAACTTGCAAGTTATTTGAAAAATGGAAGTGGGGAGATGTATTTTTCACAACCATTGATTTACCTTTAGATCATGTGCTACAGTCCTTTCTCAAAAAAGAAAAAAACAAGAAAAATCTCAAACAACCTAACCTACCACCTAAGACAAGTTAGAAGAAAAAACAAAAGCTAAAGTCAGCAAAGAAAGAAAGAGTTAGTCGATCTGTCGCGTCTGACTCTTTGCAACCGCATGGTCTGTCCTTGGGATTCTCCAGGCAAATATACTGAAGTGGATTGCCATTCCCTTCTCCAGGGGATCATCCCTGACCCAGGGATTGAACTTGTGTCTCCTACATTGCAAGCAGATGCTTCTTTACCATCTGAGCTACCAAGGACGATGGGTAGAGTCACCAAAAGGAAGGATATAATAAAAATCAGAGGAAATAGAGATTTAAAAATAGAAAAAACCAAGAGCCTTTTTTTTTTCTATTCTTTGAAAGGGTAGACAAAATTGATAAACCTCTGGTCAGGCCCATCTAGATCATGCGGTAAAAAGTCATACAAGCAAGCTATCATGATGGAGAAAGAGAAGGGTCTGTTAGCTTTCTATTACTTGGTATCAGTTTGTTTGGAAAGAGAAAGATGCTTCAGAAATAACTGCTGATGTAGG